TATAATTTCGATAAAAAAATTTCTGCAAAATTGAATGGAAATCGACCGAACTCTTAAAGTCAAAAGTTTCTGAAAAGCATAGGAAAATAACTAAAACTTAAAAGCTGCCGATATCAACCTAATGCGCTCCGGCCTTTTATAGGGCTTCTCCGAAAAGAAATACGACTTTTCCACGACATTTTGTTACCTTTATTTGCATGATATAAGCTTGGAAAACAGGCCTAAGCAGGTAGAATGTCGGGCGGGCTACAGTCAAGCCAGCATTTTTTGCAGGCTCTAACATTAATGCGATGTTTTTGAGGTATATTTTATGGAAATCAGACCCAATCCACTCGAAACACGATCGAACGTTTTTATCGAAACTGCTTGGCTTTCTGAATGTTTTTGAGTTTAAGTTTCATGATTTTTCCTAGCTCATTTTTCTCCTTCGTCGCTCTCGAAATTTTGATCGTTATGGATTCTTAGAAACTTTTCATAACTTTATTTTGGCGCCCGAACACCACAAAAACTTTTTCCACTTGGCCTGGCAGGTACAGCCTTAGCAATAGGATATATTTTTGCATATTGCTTATGTGCTTCCAGTTACAAGATTATAAAACCCTTTTAATTTTAACGATATCTTTTTTTGATTAATCGAAAAATAGTATCGGTAATTGTTTGACGGTTGTAAGCTACAAATACAGGTTTTTTAAGTCTTATAAAATATCAGCAAATCAAATAATCTTCGTCTTATCTACGACGACTCCTCGGTCAGGATGAGGATGTGCAAATGCCTACATGCATGTATTTCACGAGATTATATCGATGTAGTATGGCGGTGTTTCCGCTGCAAACATAATACAGTCTATTTCAAAATAAGCCCCGATGCTTGGCCCGGCCAAAGTCCATCTATGGTACTTTGAATTCATCCATGCGCTCCCAGTGACCCGGAATTTGCACCTGGCGAGAAGCTGAGGTAGGCTTACCGACGAGACATCTACAAAACGGGCTGATTGATCCTCTACAACTTCGTCTTGCAACATATTTTGCAAATGCTTCCGGAAATCTACGAGGAACCGGTCGTCTATATGGGTTTCATGACCGGGTTCCTGATCTCGGGTGTTATCATCAACTTTTCGACGCTATTTATCATCTACATCGCATCGCCGCCGCAAATGAAGCAATACAAATGGATTTTGTTCACTTTCCAGGTAATCCAGATAGTTATGATATTTTTTCGGCATAAAATTTTCGTAATTCTGATCGGGCGGGCTTTTTTTCCAGGCTTTTCAACCTAGGCCCGGCCCTTTTTCAACCGGTTAAATTTTTGCGGTACTAACTACAGGGCGATCCCTACCCTTGAGTGAAACCTGAACTACTATGTGTTCGAATTTCCATTTAGAAGTAATTTTCTTAAAGCCGCAACTTTAGGTCTGCTCCATCAGCTTCGAGCTGTACATACATGCTGTAGTCCCTGAACTCTTCCTTCCTGCTATGGCCTTTCGGTTTCACGGCAGGCTGTTCCGGCTTGTCGATCCTCGCGATGTCTGGGTGAGAATTATTTTCATTTTTATTTTTATGAGTTGTAGCTGTATATTTATGATTTTTTATGGGAATAACAGGCTTTTTTAAGATCTACGGATCTTTCTTCCTGATGGCCATGGTGGCGGCGACGCTGGCGTGTATCGTCTATCGACACCAGAGCTTGCTGCACTTCAACCATCCGATAAAGTAGGTTTGGCGGTTGGAGTCCACAGGTGTCCCAATGAAATACCGCCCTCTACCTCGACGCAGAAACATGGGTTCGGACTGTTAGTTTTAACATTCAAATGCTCCGGAAATGGCGAGTTTGCAACAACTTTCAAAACTCTACGGCCTCTGCATCGGATTAATCGCCACTTCCGGTCATTTTTGTTGGAGAAATTGAGGCAAATTAGCTCGTAAGCAACCTCGAGCAACCGCAAATAACGCATTTTTAAAAAAATGGTTTCGAAGGTTATTATAAACCCGCCGTTTCAAGGGCTGTCGAATGGTATAGCTATCATCCCGATCCTATACTTCTGCGTCGAGATAGAGGGGATGGTTTTTATTGGGACACCCTATATGCTATCCTTTCAGGCTTCGAATACCGGCGCGCGTGATGATTTGCGTTTTCTCGCCAGCCCTCTCCTGGGTTGCTTTTTTCATTGTGGTTCGCGAGGCCCAAGTCTCCCTCGTCGATGAGGACAGCCTGATTTTTGCAAAACTGATGGAGGTAGTGCTGACTTGAAGCTCTTTGAAGACCTTCTCAGGAATACCCAAACTACGGTTTCTTGCGTACCGTTCCGGATCTTTGGGCGCTCGATGTCAGCAACACTGTTCCGTCGTGGCCGGCCAACGTGCAGACCTTGGTCTGCTTGACAATGGCCTACATTGGTACCTACACTTTTGTGACGGTAGGTATTGATTTGACGCGCAACAATTAGGTCGCGCCGATAGATACCGCTATACTCTAGTTTTTAAAGGTTAGTATAGGTTAGCTGAGCTTCAGGACGGCAGATTTAAACCAGGGACTGAGGAGTGAACTAGCCTGCACCCAAGCTTTGCCCACATTTTAGGGAACCACGTTTGTCGTGCATTGCTACTACCTTCTCGCGGGTACCTACGTTAGCGAGCGGACGCGTAAGATGCAACGCCAAATGATTAACGCGCTCACGTGGCAGGTATGTGATTTTAGTTATAACTTTAATATCGTCGCAGATACTGATACCAGCTGTCACCGTTGCGATTCCCTGGTTATACACAGCGGCGATCACCTTGGGGAAGGTCGAAAAGGATCCGTGTGGGTTTCGAACAATATGAAAAAGCATTATTTTATAAATTATAGATATTGAGTTAGTTCTTTATGTTATTCAAATTTTGCTACGGCTTTTTCGACGTCCGAGTACGATTTCAACTTTTCAGCCGTGCTAAACAGCTTTTACCTCTTTGATGGTGGTCATGCGCTTCTGACTTCAATCGAAATTGTGCTGCTATCACGGCCCTATCGAGAATTCATCGTTGCCTTGTTTGTAGGCAAGAAAGCGTGGGTTTTCATGTCATTTCAGGTGGATTTTTCAAAAGCTAATTATCGCTAAAAACCGAGTTGTTTTAGGAAGTTCGTGGTCGTCTCAAGCGACCGGCCGAGCGTTGCCGTCAATAAATCTCGTGCTAATAGTCATCCAGCGTCCGCGATTCAGGCAAGATTCGGCCAAACATGGAAATCGTAATAAATCAATTATTTTTGGCCGCTCCTGACTACTGACCGCACAATTATGCAGGCATTTTAAGAAATCAGCTTGTTAGAGATGATACATGTCGTCTTGTAAAGTCCACTAACCGTATAGGGCGGCCTCAAAGCGTACCTTCCAAGGCCGATTGCGCGAGAAACGAACAATTCGAAATCGTTTTTATTTCTGGATCAGAAAGAGTATCAAAAACAGTGCCGAAAAAAGTTTGGTACGAAACTTGTGAGGCCCGGATGTAGGTGCTAGCATTTTTCGAGGTGTTCAATTTTCCTGGTTTACTGATTCTTCCGAACCAGGCGCATCGCAATTTTATTGTTTTCCAATAAAAACCTCGAATAAGCGACTTGGCGACTTCATAGAACCAGCGATCTGTTGAGCTCCACCAGCCCATCGAAACGTATCGTGAAGGTTGTGGTGAAAAATTACCCCGAGGAAAAACGACTTGCGCAATTTAAGTATCTTTTATGTACTCAAGTCAGCCTTTTCTAACGTCCCATCTGCAATCCGCAAGCTCTTTTGAAAGAAACACCTGACTTGGCTGGCGCTAAAAGACAGCTTGTACGGCATCCATAACCCATTTTGCACCTGCCAGACCCTTAGTATAGGTCCCAAAACCACCTAAAAATTGATTGAACAAGTCATTCTGGTCTCTGATGACGGAGCGCATCTACGAAGAGCCGGTCGTATATGTGGCATGTATGACCGGCTCTGCTATCACGGGTATTATTATCAACTGTTTCACGCTGTTCGTAATCTATGCAGCGTCACCGGTTAGGATGAAAAAGTACAAATGGCTATTGTTTACTTATCAGGTATGTTCGAGTAACTGGTGCTCAAACGCGTTCTTGACGTCGTTGAAATCCGCGGTTGCCCCATCAGAATCGGTGGATGCTCAGTTTCTAGATTCTGTCGATTTGCTTCGAATTGTACATCCATGCCATCTTGCCCGAGGTTTTCCTACCAACTATCTCGATGCGCTTTCGCGGCGCCTTGTTTCGCAACGTTGACCCGCGATCGGTGTTTGTAGGTTTTTCGAAACGGGAATCTTTCAGAATCTCGCATTTTCATAATCTCGCATTTTCATAATCTCGCATTATCATAATCTCGCATTTCCAGAATCTCGCATTTTCAGAATCTCGCATTTTCAGAATCTCGCATTTTCAGAATCTCGCATTTTCAGAATCTCGCATTTTCAGAATCTCGCATTGTCATAATCTCGTAATTTCAGTCTCGCAACTTTTCCAAGAGCTCCAAGAATTCGATGAATGATGATTGATCACAGAGTAGGCGGATCCCAACAAATTAATCGGATGTCTGGGCCACTAATTTAAAGAATTCGAGATGGTCATAGGCGTCGTACACCTCGTCGAGGCCACGCTGGGCTTGGTAATCGATGGCAATGGGTGTCTGCTTCATGCCCTGTTGCTGCGCCTCGATTAGACGGTTGTCGCGCGTTCCTGGAAACCGCCCAACGTTTCCAGAAACTTCCAAATTCCCGGGCTCTGCTAGTTGTAGTTAGTAGAAATGCAGCTAGTCTATGGGAATTGCGAGATTGTGAAGATGCGAGATTGTGAAGATGCGAGATTCTGAAAATGCGAGATTCTGAAAATGCGAGATTATGAAAATGCGAGATTATGAAAATGCGAGATTATGAAAATGCGAGATTATGAAAATGCGAGATTATGAAAATGCGAGATTATGAAAATGCGAGATTATGAAAATGCGAGATTATGAAAATGCGAGATTCTGATACCAAATCTTTCGAAACGTCTGTGTTTTTTGATGTCATACCAACCTCCAGGTTTTCAGTTACAATTCCGAAATTTTAGGCTTACGGCATTTGGGGGATGATGGCAATGCTTACTGCATCAATCGCCTGCATACTGTACCGTCAGCAACATCTGGTGCCAGCCTATCATCGGTTCAGGTCGGAAAAATGCATATCTCGCCAATGCAATGTTCTGGATTGCGGCTCGGCAGCTCCCTGGCGTTTCTCCTTATACCGTCTTGCTGCTTTTGCATAATTCTGGACTTGGAGCTTCCCGAGTTCAAGACATCACAGGGTAACAACGAAAGCCCGTTGCTGCTCAAGGTCTTGCAGGTATGGACCGACTTTCAGGTGTTACACGGATCCTGAGTTCTTGAGTCCTAACTCAGATCCGTGTAACACCTGAAATGATCACGTAAAAGAAGAAAGAACAAGCTTTCTTACAATAAGCTAGAGTCTAAAAACCAGTAGCGAGAACGAGCAGTAAAAGTGGTAGAATGGAAAATGGCACGCACCAAAAGGGCCTCTGGCGGGGCGCCGAAAACGCACAGAGAGCTGTGTCGATAGTATTGCGGCGGGAACGATATCACGTAAGCAGGGTTTTTCACCGATGGACCCGGATCGGTAAGGATCCGGATCGGATCTGGATCCAATACAGATCCGAGGAAAAAAAGGGACTGGAAGTAATATTCTCGATTCTGATGCTGATTCGGTCATGGTAATCGCAAAAATACATAGCCCAGAGGCAGAACTGATCTTTGCATCTAAGAATTAGCACTTAACTCGATTGCATGATCCATTTCTTTGGATCCGGATCGGATCGGATCCGCCCTGGATCTGGATCCGGATCCGATCCAGATCCAGATCCGGATCAAGTCCGATCCGAAAATGACCAACCCGGCACGTAAGCCAAGAAGGAGATTTCAATTTTGCTCCCTGCAACATTATTTAGTTTCCTAATGGGTCTGTCAGTTGACTTTGCACTAGCTTTTTGTCAGGACGTGCCCAACTACGGCTTTCTGCGAACCGTACCCGACCTTTGGGTCGTCGACGGCAGCGACCCCTTCTCGCTGTGGCCCGTCAGCGCCCAACTCACCGCCGCCTTGTCAATACTGTTCATGGCTGTCTATTACGTAATAATCGTAAGCTATCTACGTACGCTTCAGCACAACCATCGCTTTTTAGGGGGGTCGGCTTGGTCGCGCATAGCTACTACCTACTTAACGGGAACAATATGAGCGAGAAGACCAGACGTATGCAACGGCAGATGATCAACTTGTTGACGTGGCGGGTGCGTTTAATTTTATTGTGCAAAACTCGCCATAGATATCCATTCCGCTTTTTACGTTGGCGACGCCGTGGGCCATCGGCACGACGGTCGTCTGGGTGCAGTTCGAAATTCCAGCGGGTATCCGGACTCTACGAACGTTAGAAACTATCCGTAATTTCCAGCCGCCTGGAACGCCATCTTTTTCCTCGATGGTTGCCACGCGCTTGTGGCGTCCGTCGTGATTCTGGGGCTCACGCCGGGCTACCGCCAGTACATCTTCAGCCCCTTTCGAAAACTGGGCAGAAGGTAATTTTTATGACTTTTCAATGGAGACCGAAGCGTCGATTTTACCTAGCGATCAACGTCAACTTTTTAGGATATCGACCATCGCCGTACAGCAGACACGTACGAACGAAAAGTCGCTGGCCTCTACGATTCGACCGGCGATTTCGTTTGGCTGAGATGATGATAGCTCAAATCTAATAAATCACTTTATGCAAATAGCTCACCTCGTGAATGCATCACGTGGACCGAGAATTCGCCTGCGCCACATGGCACTGCATCAAAGGATGTCAATTTTCAAAGGGTCCATGAGTTCGAAGAAGCGCCTGAAGAAAACGACCCAACCCTCAAATGCACCTGTCAGACGCTTACTGGCAGCTCCGTTCAATCGGGTCAAGCGCTGGCAAAAATCTCGAAATGCCGCCTACCTACGAGGATCCATACTTCTATGTAACTTGCATGAATGTCATCCCAATTGCTGGCTTCGCTGTAAACATTTTTACCCTGTTCATCATCTACGTCGCGTCACCGACGACCATGCAAAAGTACAAATGGCTGTTGTTCTTTTATCAGGTAGTGGAGCTCGATTTCGGCATAAACAACCAACTTTCAAACGCACCGTTGATTGGACTTTCCAGATGTTTTCCACCGGGTTTGACCTTTTGGTGCACGCCGTGCTGCCTGAGTTGTTCTTACCGCCCCTGGCATTCCGGTTGCATGGCACGTTATTTCGGAACGTAGACCCACTGCAAATAGTGGTACGGTAGTCCACCATTCGATGGGAAGGGCCGTTTTAGGAATATGGGATATTCTTGATGATGGCCCTAATCTGTTCTACAGCGTATTGTCTGGTATACCGACATCGCCAACTGTTAAGTCGTGATCACCCTTCGAGGTTGTTGTCTCATACCTCGTGTCTTTGGCTTCTGAGGGAGGGGGGGGGGAAACGCCGCCCAGGTACAGGGTGTCCCAATAAAAAAGGTCACTCTGGCATTTTGCTATTTCAAATTCAATTTTTAAATTTTCAATTTTTACCAGAGCACAAACAGCACAAACTTTATTTTACGTTATTAACCCGGATTTCGCCGAAATTGAGTCTTGGAATGTATGGGGAAAATGAAGCGCCGACCCTTTTTTACCCTGGGAAATTTTTTTATTTCGGAAAATTTGGTTTGAAAATAGGCTATTTAAGGAATTTTAACCAGGGCTAATTGAGGCCGATGTTTAGAAGAATGAGGGATTTATAGCGGGAAATGTATGTTAATCGATGCAAAGTCCAAAAAGATAGCCGAAAAAATGAAGCAAAAGTGTGGGAAAAACAGTATTCGGGGTTAGCGGGCGTAGCCCGCTAACCCCTTTTGGTTTGAGGCACCCCCCCATACGACTCTTTTGGTGTTCTTTTCCAGATTTAAAAAAGAACCAAGCGTCGGATCGCAAAACTGAATACACCATCGGAACCGGCGACACTTTTTACATACTATAAGCTTTTAAAAATTGAAAAAGAGTGAAATTTCGAATTTTAACAGCCGATTTAAATTGCGTTTCGGGGGGTCTGCGTTTGTTTGTCTGCACCGAAACCAATGTAGCTGTCAAAAAGTGCCTTCCCATGGTCCGTTTGGGCTGAAATTTTCCACATATATCGGCTTGATGCAAATGAAGGTGAGGAAGAAGCGTTTTTTCAAAATAGCTTTTTAAAAAATTTATATTTAATTTTTAAGTTTAAAAGCTAAATTGCGGCCAAAACAAGGGTTAGTGATGTCCTTTTTAGGCTGAAATTTTGCTCAAATATGCATTAGTCCATGCAGGAATAAGTAAAGAAGAAATTGCATCGAAAGAATGCTTCTTCTCTGAGATATTATAAGTTTAAACCTTCGCCATACGGGGCGCCACCCTCCCCTTTGGCGGCCCCAGTCCCGGGTCAGGGCGGGCGGGTCTAGCTTCCCCAAGAGGCCTCCAGTCTCCCGGTTGGCCTAGTGGTTAGCACGCTGTACTGGGAAGACTTTGTTCCCGAGTTCGAACCCCACCCAAAACATGGTTTTTGCCGATTGGCCCCGTGCAACCTTATGTTTTCTAGTGCCGTTACAAAGCGCCGCAGGCAAAGTTTTTCTGAAGTTTTGCCTACAAGGGTTCATCTGAATAAGTATTCCTTAGCTTATTTTACGCTCTTAACAATAAGATTGAGGCAAAAAGGGCTAAATTCTCTCTAAGGCTAAAAAGAGTCTTTTTCAAAAAGGGCTATTGGTTTTCGCAAAAGAGACGAATTCTCGTGGCAACAAAAAGAGCTAAATTCCTTTCAAACTCTTAAAAATGCCACAGAATGTGGGATCAACCAAAAGTTGCTGGCACCTTATTAAAATGGACAGATCCAGTTTCGAGCGGTTTCGGCTTGCAAATAATTTCTGTATTATGATCTATTTGCACTTTCTTGAAATTAATCTGTGGACCTGACCTGTGATCTGGGATGGTACCGAGTTTACAGGGTGGCCCGTGGTGACCGAAACTTTTTCGATTTTCTGAAAAACTATAGATCGAGGAAAGCTCATTTTAGCACATTATATTCCTTAAACAATTATCTTCCACATGGTATAACCACTTTTTTATTTGTTTGCCTCAAGCTCGGAAAAACTGGCGCGGAAGCGGATGGAAAACGGAGGTGCTGGCACGCAGACACTCACTAGGGAAGTCCAAGATACCCGCAACACGAATCGGGCTGAAAATTTGCACAGTTATAGAACCGACCATGCTGATCATCGCCTCGTTTTCCGAATTTGCTACCGAGCTTAAATAATTAAGATATTAAACTTTTAAAATGCGCCAAAAACCCGCTACCCTGACCCTGGCTCACTAGAGCGGGTGGGGTTCAAGAGGCCTTTGGGAAGCCCCCTTCCCAGAGCTCGGTAGTCAACTGGTAAGCGTGTCGCTTCCCAGGTGGAGGGTCCGGGTTCGGACCCGGCCCTAGTGTTGGAGAGCACCCCGAAGAGAGCACCCCGGGGTGCTTTTTTTCCCACCCCGGGGTGCTATTATTTGCACCCCGGGGTGCTCTAAAGCACCCCGGGGTGCTTTCAACACCCGGGGTGCCCCCAAAAAGCACCCCGGGGTGGAAATAAAGCACCCCGGCCGAGAGAGGGTGCTCTGGAAAGCACCCCGTCCCCCAGTGGGGTGCTCCAAAAGCACCCCAGCCCCCTTGGGGTGCTCCAAAAAAGCACCCCGGGGTGCTTCGGAAGCACCCCAGGGGTGCCTTGGGGTGCTCTGTGGGGTGCTGTCTGGGGTGCTTTTTGCCAATGACCGCAATATATCAACTAGGCTATTTTGATCGAATCAGGAGATGAACATCATTTTCGAGCAGTTCGCACAACTCGGCGCCAATTCGATTGCAACTCATTTGGGGGTCGTTTCGGAGCATTTCTTCGAGGTTCTTGAACACGGCGGACGATTTCGAGACGTTTTCTTCTAACCGCGCTAGCAGGCTGGGCAAAGCTGGTAAAGAGCTGAAACTCGTTGGGCAGATAGAACTTTTCGCGCTCTTTCGAATGGTGCCCTTCGCGATCCAGGATTCGCAGTGCAAATTGAGATATGATGGTTTTAGTGCGGCGACAACTTCGACAGGTACACCTTTCGGCACTAAAACGCTCCCCTCTCTGTCCCCCGACGATTTTGGAGAACGGCAAGTATACCGTTGGAAAGAGCGCTGAAAATGCAACCTTCTCAACCGCTTAAAGTAATTCTATCAAGCTTCTTTAGGCCGCTAGCGCGGTTAGAAAAAAACGTCTCGAAATCGTCCGCCGTGTTCAACAACCTCGAAGAAATGCTCCCAAACGACCCCCAAATGAGTTGCAATCGAATTGGCGCCGAGTTGTGCGAACTGCTCGAAAATGATGTTCATCTCCTGATTCGATCAAAATAGCCTAGTTGATATATTGCGGTCATTGGCAAAAAGCACCCCAGACAGCACCCCACAGAGCACCCCAAAAGGCACCCTGGAATGCTTCCGAGCACCCCGGGGTGCTTTTTTGAGCACCCCAAGGGGGCTGGGTGCTTTTGGAGCACCCCACTGGGGGACGGGGTGCTTCCAAGCACCCCCTCTCGGCCGGGGTGCTTTATTTCCACCCCGGGTGCTTTTGGGGCACCCCGGGGAGGTTTAGCACCCGGGTGCTTTTTTAGAGCACCCCGGGGTGAAAATAAAAGCACCCCGGGGTGGGAAAAAAAGCACCCCGGGGTGCTCTCTTCGGGGTGCTGTCCAACACTACCCGGCCCGCGCATTTTCTTTTGCTTTTTGCTAATTTTGCGCCGCACATGTGGCGCGTGTCCAGAATGTGTTTTTTACTATACGCAGATGAGCCAGTTGCCGCCGTCGAATTACGGAATACCGGTTTTTAACAATTTTTTTACTAGTGTTGTTTTTTATGAACTTTTATTAAGTATAAAATTTATGATTTCGTTGAGTTTCATTTCTAGGATGTACGTAAATGCGTGTGCAAAACACAATCTGAACACGCTCCACATGTGCGGCGCAAAATTAGCAAAAAAGCAAAAGAAAAATGCGCGGGCCGGGTCCGAACCCGGACCCCCCACCTGGGAAGCGACGCGCTTATCAGTTGACTACCGAGCTCTGGGAAGGGGGGCTTCCCAAAGGCCTCTTGAACCCCACCCGCTCTAGTGAGCCAGGGTCAGGGTAGCGGGTTTTTGGCGCATTTTAAAAGTTTAATATCTTAATTATTTAAGCTCGGTAGCAAAATTCGGAAAACGAGGCGATGATCAGCGTGGTCGGTTCTATAACTGTGCAAATTTTCAGCCCGATTCGTGTTGCGGGTATCTTGGACTTCCCTAGTCAGCCCGAATTTGGTTCATAACTCGATGAAGACTTTCGCGAGCGAACCCAAAATTGAAACGGGAGTAGCCAACACTTTGGCCTTTCAGACCGGCTAGATAAAAAAATTCTGCGGGTTCGGGTTGGGGCTGCCGGATCGCTTTTTGCGAGCAAAAAACGGTTTGGTTAAAACCCTTAATAACGGGCCTCAGTCACTTGACCAAGTTGAAGGGTTCTGAGCCATAGCTGCACCACGAGCTTCACCGGAAAGGTCAGGCACGCTCGTTAAAGAGATGGAAAAAGCATCGTTAAGTATTTTCTTCCACAGGAATTTATTTCGGATTTTGTCGATTTCAAAAAATCCATGAC